GAATGAGAGATAACTAAGTAAAACCAGGAGGTAGAGGGAAAATGTAAAACCATGTAAGTCATGACAATTCTTTATATTTTTAGCAGAACCAATAGATATGTCCAAAATGAAGCAATCAGGAAGTAAGAGTGCTATAACACTCTTCAGAATGACAGTAGTAGGCTGTGAGAACTAGAGAGATGGCTACTTCCAGGGGAGTGGCCCAGGAGAACTCCACTGGTCAACAAGCAGCTAAGCACTCCTAGTACCTTCTCCCACGTGTTGCTAGGATGTTTATAATACACAGATATTTAAATGCAACACAGAAGAAAGTGACTCTAACCCTCCTCCTTTGCTTTTGAAAACCAGGTAAGAATTCTTTTAAAAATCAGCATTTCCATTAAGCGTGAATACCTCATTCTCCCCACCAATATTCACTGAGCGCTGCTGCATGCCATGGGCCATGGAAGCAAAACAGGACAGATGCCCAAGGAGCCACATGCCACCACCGTCCTCCCTGCTTCTCCTAAGTAACTGTACCTCAGGACTCACAGGAATGAGAACAGACATGGCAAACCACAAACAGAAAAGGCCCATTCTTAACAGTGGATCAGCCGATACCAAACTGTAACCTGATCTCACACCAGAAAACTAAATGACTATCATAACAGTAACACAGCTCTGTGAAATTGAGTATGCATTCTGACAACTCATTCAAGCCTTACTACCCTAAAAAGTAGATTCTGTTCCCTGTCCATTTGAAAGCTAAAAAGGAGAAATTCTGAGTATGATCTACTTGGCTACAGTCACCAAACTAATAAATGAGGCACCCAGAGTCTCCACTTGGTCTTCCCATACAAGATATATTATTGAATTTCTTATATGTATTATATAACAAAATAATTATCTACTATAGAGTATCCTATTTCTTATGATAGGATACATATATATATATACATTTCCCACACTATAACATCTGTCCCTTGTCCCTACAAGTAGTCTAATAATTTTGTGCAAAGTTCAATCTGCATTTGTTCTTGATTTTGTTTTGTTTTTGAGTCAGGGTCACTCTATCACCCATGCTGATGTGCAGTGGCACGACCATGGCTCATTGCAGCCTTGACTTCCTGGGCTCAGGTGATGCTCCCATCTCAGCCTCCCGAGTAGCTGGTACTACAGGTGTGTGCCACCATGCCCAGCTAATTTTTTAATTTTTTTAATAAAGACAAGCTCTTGCTATGTTGCCCAGGCTAGTCTAGAAATTCTGGGCTCAAGCAATCCTCCTGCCCAGGCCTCCCAAAGTGCCCACATGACAGTTGTGAACCATGACAGGCTTTCCATCTGCATTTGAATAACAACTGTAACTGAGGAAGACCTAAATACTGTATACTTGCAATCACATGGTGCTGCCATATTTTGGCAAAACTTAAGCACAATCTTTGTTAAAGCTGAGTGAAAAATACTGATAATTAACCACCCGTAGTGTTTAAGAAATAGTCCTAGTTTTCACAGACAGTAATAATAAATTACAGATTCACGATTATTTCAAGATAACACAACATTTACATTGACACTGCCAGATTAGATCTCCGTGTAAACTCTGAGATGAGGGGTACTGAAAAGCAAGGCGTCAGCCACCAACAACATCTTTCCACCACCATTCTTAAGCACTTTCTTCAATGTTACTGTGCAGGTGTTCCCCATCAGCTATAGAGGAGGTCAGAGGCTTTCCCAACCAAACGTACTGCCAAACTAAGGTCAGTTAAGATCACACCAACAGTGCACTAACACTGTAAGTTGAATCTGAATCACTACAAAATTCAGCAGCTTATCTGTGGCAATGAACCAAATGCTAATCAAGTCTTGGTGGTAGCTTTTCCATAGGTACTATACTGTGCCCTTCAAAAAGTCTGAGATTTAGCTCCACAACTACAAAAACGCATCACCATTTAACTACCTGGCTGTTAAGCAGAAACACAGAACACCAGTCTCTGGCAGTGTCTGCATCCCATCAACACTCTCCCAGGAGGGGCGGGGCGGCCTGCAGGGGAAGGAACACTGATCTTACCAACCAGGCGGACCAGGTGTGGTAGGATTGTGCCTTCTTCAGAAGGAATACCCACTAGTGCATTCTTGTCAGTATAGGTGCATATTTCCATCTGACTTCACCAAAAGCAACAAAAAAGCAAAACAAGAGCTACAGAATAGTACCAAGAAGACAGTGTTGCCACAAAGCCAGACACACTAGGGAAGACTCTGGAGGCTCCACTCTGGGTTAGGACACCGAGAGCCTCCATGGTATGAAGTACTGCAGCGCGCAAGCAGTCATGGCTGCCACGTCCCAGAATAGCAGCATCTGTCTCCTTTCCAGCACCAGCTGGTCAGTTCTTCAAGACGTGAGCTCCAGTCACACTCAAGTCAGCATGTGTGTTTTGTTAATTCTGTTGTGTCACTTCAGAAGTCTGACATGGGTTTTAAACAAAGGATGACAGGTGACCCTTAGGAATGAAAATGGGGAGATGCTATAGCTAAGGGGGGTGGGCAGAGGCAGGGTGGAGGGCAAGCGATGCTACATAGAAGGCAGGATGCTAAACACCTAAAACTGACACAAAATCCCAGTCCTCCCATTATAACTACAGAGACACTCGGTCTGGTTTCTGGCTTCAGATAATTATATAATATTATTAAAACTCACAAAACTCTATGCATCCTTCTTCTCCCACACTTTCCTGGAGCCAAGAATTACTGGAAAAACACAGTCCTCGCATACATAAACCACAACTCCATAATTCTTTAACCAGTTAAAAGCTCTTTCAGATATTTTCTTTCATCAGAAGACCAATAATCCAGTTCAAAAGGTCTTGGTGCTGAAATCCTAAAAAAGTCACTTAATCTGTCCACTGCTTCCTTGATAATTCTGATTAGGAACTGACAAACTTGATGAATATGCTAATTAATATCTCATAATCACCATCTCCAACATCTATGGTTCTAAATGTTTTACAAACATAAGTGCACTGAACCCTTACAAGTTTGAGATGCACGGTTATTATCCCCTTTTATACCTAGGAAACTGAAGCACAGAAAGGCTCAGGAACTTTCTGAGGAGGTCCCAAAGCTAGGATAATAAGTCAGCTGTTGTCTCCAGGTAAGACCTTGGATGTAATGACTTTTGGGATCCTGAATCAAACAACCGAGTGTGAATGAATGTCTTCTAGGTCCTGTCAATGACACAGAGTAGCAACAGTCAAAAAGGAGAGGTTTCTTGAAATCATAAGGGCTTTTTCACAATCCCTTAGGATTACTGGCTCAAGGTTTGGCCCAGTTTCCTGAAAACAACCCTGAAACACCTCTTCACCAAAGGGAGTGCTCCCAGAGACAGGCAACAAGTGCTGTCGGGCTTGCTCCCCTGCCAGTTACAGACTCACCCAGGAAAGCAGTTCCTGACGTGAAATACATTGTGACACTGAGATCACCTCCTAGCATTACATTTTATCTGAATGAATTTTAAACGTTTTGTGAATCAGAGAAAGTTTAGTTTGGCGCAAACGTCAAATACTAGGCAGTGCTCCTTAGGTATTGTCATGACTTTGACAAGCAAAGCAAAACCTATAATTCATAGCTGTATCTTCTACATATCACAGGAGAAACTCAGGAACCAGCTGTGATAAATGCCCACCAGGGTCTCGGTGGCAGACAGGGCTAGTGTCCTGAGGCTGTGAGCCTGGCTCTGCACCATGAGGGCTGCCCTCGAGTGCTTAAGACGCAACCCCAGTCATACAGTAATAGAATGTGCAAAACAAACCAAGACCCACTATGTGTGTCTTCTGAACTCAGAGTCCACCCTGAATGTGTGCAGAAACGAAATTATCTGTAAGTCCACTGGTTGAGATGTGCCACTGGTCCTTCTCCGGAATACAAACCTGCTCCCCGTGACAGCAGACCATCAAAGGAAAAACCCCAACAAGCACAGATGCTTCTAAACAGCTGAATCATTCAGGATCCAGCCCCCGTCCTCCAAGCTGTGGGCGCGCAGGCTCTGTCTTCCGGAGGCCCGAGTGCGAAGCACTCCCCCCTCGGAGATCAACGGGATTCCCGAAAGACCCGACTCGACCGCAGCCGCGTGACCGTGCATGGCCCGGGAGGCCTCGGCCGCGCAGCCAGCCCCGGCGACGAAAACACTACCCGGATAAAATGCCTTCGCGCATCCAGTGCGTTTTCACTGATCGTCTGCTGGGGCCGCGCCCAGGGGCCGGGCCCAGGAGCCGCCCAGGGTGCCCCCGCTGGAAGGGGCACCGCCCTCCGCGCCACCGCCCCCAACCCTCCGGTGGATGTCCAGGGGAGCCCCAGGGGGTCTCTGGAGGGCGCGTGGGGGCTCAGGACCCCAAGGAGGTTGTGGGGTGTCCAGGGGGGTCCTAGAGGGCCTCTGGAGGGCGCGTGGGGTCTCCCGGGCGATGCGCGCACAGACCTGGTGAAACCAACGAATCCCACGCGCCCCAGGGCGCCCTGGCCGACGAGGCCGTGGGACTCCGCAACTACCGGGCCAGCGCCCCTCCCAAAGGACGTCGGGGTGGGTCCCGGGAGTCTTCATGGGGCGCGCGTGGGCTGAAGGCCCTGGGACGTTCCGGGGGCTTCAAGGGGCGTCTAGGGGGTGGGGGCGTGTTGAGGGCCCCGGAGGGCGCGTGCGGGCTGAAGAACCTTGGGGTGTTCTGGGGACCCACGGGGCGCCGGAGGCCTCAGGGGGTCTCTGGAGGGCGCGTGGAGCCTCAGGGCCCCATGGAGGTTGTGGGTTAGTCTAGAGCCTCTGCGGAGGGGTCTCTGGAGGACGCGTGGGGCTGAGAGAGCCTGGGAGATTGTGGAGTTTCCAGGGGAGACCCCGGGGTCCGGAGGGGGTCCTCTAGAGGGCGCGTGGGGGCTGAGGACCCCCGCGTACTCTGGGGATGCGTTGGGGGCGGGGAAGCAACCGGAGGGGGAGGGGCCGGCACAGAGACCCCTGAGGGCACGCGCGGTCAGGCGCTCACCCGAACAGTCCTCGGAGGAAGGAGTGGGAAGCCTTGACTCGCTTTTCGGCCTCAGCCATCAGCTGCACCGCCTCGCGCTCCTTCCCCGCGTTGTCCATGTCGCAGTCGCTGCCGCCACAGCCTCTTGGGCCGGCTCCCTACGCGCCGGGGGCCTTCCCTCCCCGCTCGGCCAAGAGGGCGCAGGCGCGGCGCGCGAGGCCTGCCGGGACTTGTAGTCCGGGCTCCGCCGTGGCGGCGGGGGCGTGCGAGCTGTGGACTACAATTACCAGGAGGCGGAGGAATCGGCCGTGAGTGCCCCTGGAGAGCTGACTGCCGTCTCCCGGGCTCACCCGCATGGGGCGTAACCCGCTGGAGGTTCCTGGGCCAACTGGACTCTAGCCTTTAAGGTGTGCCGAAATGGGAAGCGACGGGTGGCTTCTGGTAAAGATCTCCTGAAATACGCAGCGTCAGAATCCCTGCTCAATATGACTGGCATGGCAATGGGATGGAGGATAACAGCTTAGATGGAACGCGCGACCTGCATGCAAGTTCTGCAAAAGGGCGTCTGGTGCAGCCACGGAAAACGGTGGCATCATCACATGGCTGACACCACCGAGCAAAAAGCCAGCAACAGCTGGCAAAAAGAGCCATTTTTATCTCCAGGAGCAAGACGTTAAGAATATAGCATCTTCCCCAATATAAATTCAGTTATTTTTAAGTCTCCCCAAACTGCAGCTTTCCGTTGGTACTCTCTTCCCTGGTTATAAGTGAGCCTATACGCAATAATTGCATAATCCCCTCTTGTTTTTGGCTGACTTCTATGCAACGGGTGTGAGCCGTTTAACTTTCTTACCTTTTACATATCCTAGGAGGTGCAACTTCTGAGACAAAATTCTTACCTGCCAGGAAGACTTCTAACCTCCTAGAAGAAGTATCCATAGATATATGGAATCCTGTGCCAGCGACTTCCAGGCCTGTCCCAGAGGGAGTTATTTTTGAATACAATGTCTAGACCATTTAGACTTGGCAATACTAAAGCAGAGATGCTTATGTGAATATGAAAGCCACTGCCAAATGTGAATTTATAACAATTTCAAACTATTAATAAATATACCGTGGGCAGTGGCATGCAAAATTTATCTTAGCAAATGAAGCCTGTCTTTAGAGAGCCAGGCAAGAGGGGGCAAACTCCTAGAAAGAAAGGTACTAGGCATATGTCACAGGGTTCACACATTGCAGGACTCTGTGGAGACAGAAGGAAATCATAGTTCTGCCTGCAGAGTTTATTTGCAATCAGTATACAATTAATGTGCATTATTCTAGCTCCAAAAAGCTGCTGTGTGCTATGGAGGGGAAACAGGGAAGCAGAAAATTAGAGGTGACAGTAATTGTAGGAGAGAATAGAGGAGAACTACAAAAAGTGGTCATAAGCATTTGGAAAGCAGAACCGTCTGTGAGGATTTAATGGAATGAGACCAAGGCTAGCTCAAAGGCTGCTAAGTGCATCTGTGTGTTTATTAAAGCAATTCCCAAATGTGGCTCAATGCAGAAGCTCCAGGAGGTGTTAAATAAATACTGATTCCCAGGCCACCAGCTTTTGGTATCAAGATCTCCTGGGTCTGGGGTCTGGAAAGTATACATTTTTAAAAAGAGCTCTCCACTCTTATTCCAAGCATCCAGTTCTAGATTGTCAAGGCTGTAGTCAGTTGAAAAGGGGTTGGAATGGATCACCATCTCTAAGCTGTAACGTGCAACTAATGGTGGCAAGGGTATATCTTGACAATTTTGGTGGTATCTGGATATTTTCCTCACTATCTTCCTTCTTCCAGGAAACTTACGGGCACTCCCACCCTTCCCTCAGTCCACACAAAAGTAGGAGGAGGGACTTCAAACCTTAGTTGCTGTGTAAAGGCAGTGTTTTCCTCTCTCGAAAGCTAGTGAGGTGAGGAGGAGGGCGGAAAGACAAACATCACAGAAGGAAACATGACCAGAAGGATAGATAAGGAATCCTCAAAGCAAGGGAGAAAGGGCGCCCCACCCTAGTGTAGACCAGGGAAGGAGGGGAAGCACCTTGAGCAGGAGCTGTCCTGGGGAGGAGCCGTAGGATCCATTGCCTACACCTGGCTGTGCAGGATGGACCCGCTCACCATCTATGACCATACAACTCAAATAAGTAATATTAAGTACATGTTACATTTCATTTCTTGGCTGTACTAGCCACATCCTAAATGCTCAATAACCATATGTAGCTAGTGGCTACTGAAAGAGTTAAAAATATGACCACCCTGGCAGATTGACTATTCAGGTTGTACACTCGAAAAGCAATAGGTACATGAAGATCACTGTGGCTTTCTTTGTATTATACAGAGTACACATTGGACACTTTGACCTTCTTGTTTCTTAAAAGCAAGAGATGAAATTCCCATGTGAAAGGTATTCTCCCTGTACTAGAAAAACAGCAGCATTCTTATCATCAAAGACGGGACATTGAGGCCAAAGTAACTGTTAAAAAAATAAATCCTGTTAAACTAACTCTTATCTTCCTAGTCTCTTCTCTACCCAACTCGCTACCCTAGCCCTAGCCCCTTTGCCTAATCAGTTTTCACAGTGTATGAGTAATGGGCTCTCATTGCCTCTTTATGTCTTCATTTTCTTATGACTTTTCATGCCACTTAAAACTATTAAACACATCTGTATGCTTTTCTCTTGTTAATCTGTCTCACATCAACTTAATTCACGAACCCAGCCAAGATCTTAGGAGGATGGAGGTGGAGTCTTGCCTGCCTACATTATCATATTGTATTGTACCAATCCAGAACATTTCATGTTATTATTGGACAGATCCTAGTGGTTGGCTCTGGTCCGTACAAGCTTTACCTTTCTGCAGCTCAAGACACTGGCAAGAAAAGAGGAAAAAAGGTTTCAGGCGGGTTCTGAGAAGACAGAGCAGGAAGGAGGAGCCTGCACCCTGAACAAGGTAGAACCCACAGAACCTGCTGACCTTTCCCTATGAGCAGATGGAGGTGGACTCCTAGACACTGAGAACGAATCAACACTCAAGGAACTAGACTTTCCTGTCCTTGTCTCCCCACCCACAGAGAGTTGGTCCTCCAAGGCAGGGCTGAGCCACCTGAGAACCCCAGCTCTGAGGGAGGCAGGGTCAGAAAAGGACCCATGTAGGGAAAGGTATGGCTATCTGCATGGGTGCACAGAAGGGGAGAGAGGCACCAGGCCATGGTCTAGCATCAGCTGCCAGGGGCATCACTTCCACTTCCTGAAGCAAGTCGTGAAGGCTCGCCATGCTGCAGGGGAGGGGAGTCTATTGGTGGGGAGTGGGTGGGGTTTGCAGGGATGTTACAGCAACACAATTAGGTTAAACAGTTCATCCCCACTGGTCCACTCTGGTTGCCTTGGCTGAGGGAGCCCTCAGGCTGGGGTTAGCCCTCACCCCACATGGCCCTGCTGCCCCAGGGCCCTGCCCAGTCCTTCAGTGGCCTTCCCTGATGATATCTCAGCCTGGGTTCTGCCTGCAATGGTAAGAGTCACTCAGCGTCATCCGAACAAGGTCAACTACTCCTAAAGCCCTGCGCCCTGCTTCAGAAGGCAGGGAAGGAAGGAATCCACTTCAGAAGGCTCTTCATCACAAACCGTTAAAGTGATGCATTAATGAACATCAACGTCAAAAATTTTTTTAGTTAATATAGAACACATATATTTAATTATTCCTCACATTCCAATGCTCTTGGGTTTTGTAAGCACCTGAGGAAAATGAAAAGAACCAATGTAAACAGAACAACGAAATTCTGTCCTTGAAATTGCATACCACACCTGCACAAATGCAGGATGTTGATGTTTGAAACATTAGTTCATAGGTGTGTTTGTGTGTGGGGGGGATGATATTTCATGTCATGTCAAAATTGTTACAAATTTTCTCAACTGTAGCTTGTTAACCTTATTTAACATTTCCTTAAACAATTACTCTATAAAATATAGATCAAAAATTAGTAAAGGTAAAATTAAATATACACAAGTATCTGTTAGGGGAAACAAAAATGATAAGTTAAAATAAATACTTATGAGAAAACATAACACAAAACATATTGTCATTAGTTAATGTTCTTTTTATTAGTTGATATGAAAGTCTACAAACAAGTTTTGAAATTAACTTGATGCCTTTAAATGATAACTTTTTTTTTTTGGAGTCTCACTCTGTCGCCCAGACTGGAGTGCAGTGGCCGCTCCCGGC